TTGGGATTTTCTGGTGTTTTTTTCATGGTCAGAATGGGTTTTTTTCCCAGGAAGATTTCAGAGGTCAAGTGTCATTCTCATTAGAGCATATGGGGGAATACTGTCAGCATGATTTAGGAAGAATGAGGCTACCCATGTCCACCTGGCTGAGATTATGTTTGCTAGCCAGCTTTTTCCTGCCTCCCTTCTTGGACTCTGCAAGGAAGTCTCTGTGCGCAGACAACAGAAGCTCTGTTCTTGTTCACCTCAGTCTTAAAAGCTGTTATCTTTTCCCCATCAGTTATTTATGGATCAAGCATTCTTCCCTTGTTTCAATTTGACATCCCTTAGGGCTTTGTCATCTTAATCCAGCTAGAAATAAGAAGAGAATGTGGAGGAGAATGTTTGCTTTTAAAAGGCATGGCCTGAAAATGGCACACATCACTTCCACTTACATTCCATATGACACCCATTCATCTGCCAAGCCTAACTGCAAGGAAGCCTAGGACATATGGTCTAGCTGGGTGCCCAGGAAAAAAGAGGAAATGGGTTTGAGTGAAATGTTAGCAGTATTTGCCACACTACTTTACAGCACAAAAGGTAACAAACCAATTTGATCTAATAATGTAATGATTATTCTATTTTAAAAAGACTAAATGAAATAACTTCATTTTAGAATTTAAGGGAGCTAAACAAAAGGAAAAAGCAGCTTAATACAAAACTTGCACCGTTGAATGTTTTTAGTAACTCACTGTTGATCTGTGAACATATGCTGAGAACAGGTACCTGTGTGTCAGCCTTTGAGAAGCACTGCCCTATATTCTGCCTGTTCCAGACTGCATCATCCCCAGACTCAGCCATGTTTTTGTCTGGAATGCCCTGCCTCTGGTTCCCTGCCTATGAGGAATCCTCCTCATCCTACAAGTCACAGACAGAATCTGTCACTTGCCCTTTGATTTTATCACACAGCGCTGCTTCACTCCTTTATATAAGAGCTACACCACACTAGTGTGAGGTACAGATATGCTTTGTGAATTAGACTGGGTGAGCCTCAAGGGTAGGGAAAGTTTTGTTGGTCTCAGGTTCCCAAGCATAGCTTGGCAAATAACATGTGTGCCTATTAAAGTACCTGATATTCTACCTGCATTGATAACAAAATATATTTTTAGCCTCTTTCGTTAAAGTACAGCAAAACATGTTCCTTGGTTTGGTCAGTTAGGAGAGCCACACATTACTGAAGGTGGTCATTTTGCAATGATTGTGGGAGGGTAGGTAGGGTGTGTAGATGGTGACGGGGCTTCAGCATGCCAGGCAGGCTGTATAGATAGCTTCCTGTGAGCATCTTAGATAAGGGCCTTTATTTGATCTCCTTTGAAGCTTCTGTAACACAGGATGTTCACTTTCATAGATCATCATGTAATTAATCCTGACTCTGAGTTTACTGCAGCCCTTGTCCCAGCAGTGAGGGTTGTTACAAAAATCTGATTGTCATTATACTGAATAGGAGTTACCAACCTGTGTTCCCAGAGCCCAAACAGGGAGATACTCTCATAGTGGTGAAAGAAGTCTTTGATTGCAGGTACAGAAAGAGAAGCATGGAGAAAACAATCATTTGCAGGCTTTAATGACTAAGCTGCCATGCAGCTCATTACCAAAAATGTATTACTTCTTAAAGTGACCTAATCAAATATACTGGAGATTACATATGAATGTCAGAAGGTTGTCTTGTTTTGTCATTTTTGATCCTCTACTCTTTGCTCATTGTTATCTACTTCATTGGCTTATGAGCTCACTTAACTAAAACAGGTAACGGGAGAGTCTGTTCTCAGAATACTCCAACTCACACTGTTTCTTTAATTTTCTTAGTTGAAAATTAGACCTTAGTTAGGATTTATATTTTTAGAGGGGTTTCTTGTTCATAATGTTACATCAGTATTCACTGGAAAATTCTTGGTGTTTCCAGTTAGAATATGAATTGATTTTAGCTTTATGAAAATACAAAAATGGAGGCTCAGGTACTAAATGAATTGCTGTGGACCACACAATATGTGTAGTTTCAAGCTGGGTCTTCTGACTTTACATGGAGAACTGAGTGTGTTCCATCAGAAGGTACCTGCCAGCCCGGTGGCCTGGAGCGAGAGACTGGCCCGGAGCTGCTTGCCATGAGATTACCTCGTTAAGTGCTTCTCCTGCATGTTCTAGCCGGTGGACTAGGATGCAGCAGGGAAAGTGAACTGGTACCTGGATTGATACCACTACTCGGGGTAGAAGATTCTAATGAACTCAGACTGCCCACAGAACCACAGAACAATCCTGAACATCATCTAGTTTAATTCTACATTGCATTGATAAGTGACTCCACAAATTAAATGAACTGAATTTATTGAACTCATATGTTCATACTTAAAAATTAATGGGAAATGTACATTGTGAAGAATTTTTATGCATGAATTTCAAAACTGGTGTGCATTATAATATACTTTTTTCCTATTTTTTCACCACACCCTTTCTGAGATGGCTTTACACATAACTATTTCTCAGAATACCTGATTTCCATTTTGGTTCTTTTTTCATTGTCCTGTATTCATGTCAATTTTTGGCACTCCCTTTGCTTATTAGTACCACTTTTGAAAACATGTATTGATGGCATCTTATCCCCAAATGTATATCAGTTCATATGTGCAGAGGCATAATTCTAAACATTTGTTATAGGGAGCAGCCCATTCTCAAAATGCCAAAGACATTAATCCCTTAAGAAAAAATATAATTTATATGGGCGCCGGTTCTAATCCCGGCAGCTCCACTTCCCAGCCAGCTCCCTGCTTGTGGCCTGGGAAAGCAGTCAAGGACGGCCCAAAGCTTTGGGACCCTGCACCCGCGTGTTGGATACCCGGAAGAGATTCCTGGATCCTGGCTTCGGATTAGCATAGCACCGGCCATTGCTCTCACTTGGGGAGTGAATCATTGGATGGAAGATCTTCCTCTCTGTCTCTCCTCCTCTCTATATATCTGACTTTCCAATCAATCAATCAATCAATCAATAAAAAGAAAAATGTAATTTAGATCAAAATATCAATAAATATGTTCAACTTAACACATAATATTCAGCCTATTTTCCGATAGTATAAAGAAACACTTAAAAATAAGCATTGGTTGAACAGGTGAATGAAGAAAGAGATTGACTTGAAAAAGTTCTGTAATTGTTGCTGATTTTGCAATCATGTGATTTCTAGTTTTATCTCAATTTTTATCACTACAATCAACTTTTTTCTTTGTCTTATCATTTGTATGGAAAATTCGGTGTATAACACAAGAATAAATTTTTACCCAACACTAGAGACAGAAAAATACTGCATCTTGTGGAAGCTAGATTGGTGCTGGCAGCTAGCAGCACCTTTGTGAGAAAGCTTTAAATATTCATATTAGCTGATGTATAAAATTCTAAATGTGTAGGCAGGTGTTTACCCTAGTGATTAAGATCATGCTTGGGATGCCAGGATCCTAAATCAGAGGGGGTGTGTGTGTTTGAGTGCCAGTTCCACTCTCAATTCCAATAGTCTTGCTAGTGTGTATCCTGAGAAATAGCAGGTGACGGCTCAGATACTTAGGTCACTGCAAACCACATAGGAAACCTCAACTAGGTTCCAAGTTCCTGGCTTCCACATACCCCAGTCATGGTCATTGTGGGGAGCAGGATGCTGAAGCCGTTCCCAGATTAGGAAAGCTGGGATAAGGAAGATGCAAGATGGCGGCTGGCCCAGGACCAGGAGGTGGGGTCGGTCTCACCAGCAGGTAAACAGGAAGTCACAGGGATAGGCTGATGCTCTCGCTATGATTACTGGCCTATCAGGTAGCGCCAAGTGGACCCACGGGGAGAAGTGATTGGTGGAGAACGATATAGAAGTAGCCGGTAAAAGCTAGGCAAGGGAACGGAAGGACAGGATGGATGGATGGACGGATGGATGGATGGATGAACGACAGGACAACTGTGATAGACAGACAGACGAAGACAGACAAGAAAGACTGGGGGACAGGAAGAAAGGTGGTGGAAAGGAGACGAGGAAAGTACGGGAAGAACGGAGCAAGGGTGGCGGAAAGAGGGCCGGCCACAGAAGTGGGGAGGAAAGCTTAGACCAGTGGGGACAGGAGCAGTGGAGAGAAGAATTTAAACATGGCCGCTTTTGGCAATAAGGGGTCTGGTTGCGGTTCCAGTTTTTCCCAGACAGTCAAGAGCGTGCCTCATTGTTTTAATGTCGCCTCTGCTGGGCGGTGGCGGCAGGTTATGGCAGGCATTTTTATAATGATCTAGCAAATGTAAGCTCCTTTGTTTGCAGGTATGTAGTTTTTTTTTTTTTCAATGAGGACTACTTAATGCTACTTGTCGTCTAAAGCAGAGAATGCATGTCTTAATTAAATTATTTTTCTTGAAGGGATTACATTTAGAGTGCCAGGACTTCTCTTTGATGAGGTATTTGTCAGTGAAGGCAAAGTCTGCTGTTCTATATACTTTCAAGTGACAATTATGCTGTTGCTGGTTATTCTTGCCTACTGGACTTAATCAGAATTTCAGTACCAAGAACTTCCAATACACATTTGACATCCAGTAGAAATAGAAATCATTTAGGACTTTATTGTGACGGCTAGAAGCTTAGAGATTAAAATAGCGTTTTGGTGCAGTGACTCCGGATTGAGACCACAAACTCAGTGGAGTCTTGTATTCAGACAGCAGATGCATAAGGGTGGTAAAGAACTCACTTTTTAGCATTCCCCTGCCTCTGTATTTTCCAAATGATAATTAGCTTTTGTTTATTTGCATTTGGTTCCCTGCTGGATAATATTATGGCTTTGCCTGTAGAAGGAAGGAAAGTATACATAGATGACTGAAACACCCCCTTGTAAATACTTATTTCAGTATTTATGTGCTATTGACATTTGTGTTTTTACTTACAGAATGTTTCCACAAAAGTGTCTTCTTATAAAGAAAGTCAGAATGTTAATAATTATTTCATTTTGTTTTGCAGAACCCCAGCTGAAAGGAATTGTGACAAGGTTATTCAGCCAGCAGGGATATTTCCTGCAGATGCACCCAGATGGTACCATTGATGGGACCAAGGACGAAAACAGCGACTACAGTAAGGAAAATTAGTTTGCAATACAATTACAAATCAGATGTGTGGCCCAGCATAGTTCAGTTTTAAGGCATGGACGGGTTGTCTTTTTTACTGTTTCACTATTAGGATAAGCCAGTGTTTTTTCCTTTATCCTTGGCATGATTCACTAGAGCAAAGTGGCTGGATGGGAGAGAGATTAACTGGTCATTGGATAAAATATCTTCTCAATATAGTGATTTTAGTCAAGATGATGTTGCCTGCTCATAGGAACAATATTAGTGTCAATACAAAAATGCTACGTATCGTAATAGTTCTTCAACATAGTTTCTGAGAGAAAAATTACTGCTAAAGTAAACATTGAATGTTGGCATGTACATATTATAAATTACTTCTTTTTAATTAAGGATAAAATTAATGATTTTAAAGAGCAGTGTATTTAAATATCATGGTGATATTTTATAGTGTATGTAATAACTAAAAATAAAAGTGGAAGACCTGAAATAGATTTAAATTTTTTTGTCAAATAAAAAGTTCCACACAGTAAAAAGTTAACAGTAATCCCACAAGAAATATTGCTCAACTAATCAATTTAAATTTAAAATTAGCCAATTAAAAAATGAATGCAGTTATCAGGATATGATAGTATATTTGCATTTTATAACAATTTAAATGTAAGAATCTTAGGCAAAATGATGATGTTCATATCATTTAAATTCTGCAGACCCACATACTTATACTCTGGGGAAAAGTTCTGTTACCCCAAATTACACAGGTTGCCATGTTTTTTTTTTAAAGTTTATATTCACTGTTAAATGTTTAGCATTGGACTCATGGTGCTGGTACATTAAATACCTATTCAACTGACTTATGATTCTGCTGGGTATGATTTTGTTGTCAGAATAATAGTTCACCAAAATCCATAAGGGAATCTAGGAAGCTGGACATTTTATAGTGAATTTTTTTTTTAATTAACAGTACAATTTGAGGATTCATTGTCTCTTAAGTGTGAAAATATTCATGCCCACTCTTTCTTCTTTTGTAATATATTACATATTACAAAATGTAAATTACAAAAATGAATAGAGTGAAAGATTTCATAGCATTTTTTTTGAAGTAGTAGATAAGATTTTCCTTGTCAGTCTGCATTGGTGTGAATGTGTTTTGTAAATAATTTGAGATTTTAATTCTGTGCAAAAAGAATGAGGAAATGTTTCCTGCCATGCGGATATGACATCTGTTGCATTCATACTTGCATGCGGAGCTGGAGAAGCTGCACGTATACCTGGGAAACAACGAGGGCATGAATGATTGTGACAATTGGACTGTCACTGATACATCTCTAGCTCTCAATTTTTGTCCTATTAAATATGAAATGATGGTGGCATCAATATCCTCTAGTGGCACCATCCATCCAACGTAAAAATTATGAATCAAGGAAGGTAGATTCCATCAGTAAGTTAGCAAAACAGCCATACAACCAGTTTTACTGGATGCTACTTTACTCTGGTCAGTGGTCCTGTAGGTGGAGACACTTATCATTGGGTAGGGAGGAAGGTGGGTATGCCAGTGTGGAACGTAGAAATGCAAATCCTTTCTTCACTGTCTCTGGAAAGAAAATTAAAAGTGCATATTTATTAATAATGTGCCAATGATTAGTGTAAAGTGACATGCAAATATACATATATACATTTATACATATTTGCATGTGTATAATACTCATTCACTGAGGATAGTACATTTTTTCAGTGTAAGAAACTGTCTCAACCCATATGCTGAAACTATCTCATATTTTATTATTTTAAACTGCTATATGTATTTTTTCATAAACTGTTGCAAAATGGCTTAAATAAGACACAAAGATCATCTGGATACCTACTAATAGATCAAAACTTAATTAAGGATATCAAACATGGATTGTATCTGATGGAGTCCTGCTTCAGTATCAGACATAATAACTTGAATTTTTTTTTGTATTTCAGTGCAATTTTGCAAACATCTTTAAAATGTATATAAACTTATATATAAACTTAAATCACTCATAATATTGTTTTATATATTGTTAAGCTTCATAAGGGAGGACATTACTATTTATTTCTTTTAAATATTCACTCCCAATAGGTGGCTAATAGAGTTGATTTACTTCATTCATTTTGATTCAATATTCTACTCAATATATATATATATATATATACCCAATGTATTAGTGTATTTTTCTTTTGATTAATCATTCTCATTTCCATTTCAAGACAATTCTACCAAGATCCTTTTCATAGATATTGAAGTCTTTACTGACCATCCTTTTTCATAATGATTTTATTTATTTATCTATTTGTTAAATTTTAATATTTTGCTTTATGACACAGTTTCATAGGCTCTGGGATTCTCCCAACCCATGCCTTCCCCTCATGGTGGATTCCTCCACATTGTTGCAGTGGTACAGTTCATATCCAGTCATGATTCCCTCATTGTGGGCAAGGACCATGTACAGAATCCAGGATCTTATTGTCCAGATAAATTCAACAGTTTCATTGGGAGACTATCCCTGGTCTGAAAGTAGAGCTGGCAGAATATCATCCCTTCCAATGAAAAGCCACTTCACCACTTCGACAACAGGAAGAAACATGGAATTTTACAACATCATGCAGTTAATTAGCATGGTATTGAGTGACCAATATGTTAGAAAATGTAAGTTCTTAACCATATCCTGTAACTACTTCATTGACATCTCAATTTTGGTATATACACAATTGGCTACCATAAAACTTAAAGTGGTTACAGGGTACTATTCAGCTGTCTCGTGTCTATTTCATTTTTATATTTAGCAGCATGATTTTTACTGAACTTGAAAAATTTTAGGATGGTCCAAACAGGCTTATAACTCTAATAAGCCATATGTTAACGAATTAATGAATGAGGAGCAGAACACTTTTGGGCAGGGCTTGCAGAGAAATCCTCAATACCTTAGTGAGGAGTAACTAATCTTTGTGTCCTACCTAGTAAGGTATATGGGAGTCCAAGCTGACCATTTCCTGTCTGTTCTAAGCTTTCCTTATTGGTCTCTATCTGATCTAATTTGGGGGGCTCCAGAGCAACCCTGATGGTCATTGGAAGAGAGGATGGGGATCCAAAGTTGGAACTAAGTAAGGACCAGAGAAAGCTCCTCTCCCAAGTCCCAAAGGAAGTTTACTGTTCTTCTGTTTCTGAGGACTGCTCAGGGTTCCTGGCTGTTGTTCCAATGACATTAGATCCTGTGAGGAAGGATCTGGGCTTCTCCCATCCTGTGTGAGAGATCCGATAGGGAATGGATGACCTCAGAGTTCTTGGCCTACAAGGGCACACCAATTCCCCGTGATCTCCTTGGCAGTTGGGATATAGTCCTTGGTGCAGGAGGACAGGAGGAGGCTTGTATCCTATCCCCGGACACTCCCGTACTTCACCAAGGACTACCAGTATGGGTACCTACCATCCTTTAAAAAATTACACATCTCACCTTTTCACTCTATTTTGGGACCCCATTTTGCTATTTATTTACTTACTTATTTATTTATTTATTTGAAAGAAGGAGAGATGAAAAGAGAGAAAGAGAGAACTGTCATTCTCTGGTTCATTTCCCAAGTACCCACATGGCTAGGCTGGGTAGAGGCTGAGAGCTATAGAGCTAGGAACTCACTCAGGTCTTCCATATAGGAGGCAGGTATATAACCACCTGAGTCAGCACCTGCTTTCTCCCTGGTTATATGTAAACAGATAAATGAAACTATTACTGAAACTTCGGCATTCCAATATGTGATGTCTTAACTGAAATATTAGAAATACTAGGCCAAATAAGTACGCACCCTCTGATTTGATTTCTATTTATGGCTTCTGTGATCACCTGACATATTTATCATTACTATTTTGCTTATTTGTGCTATTCTTCCAGGAGAATACATGTTCCATGAATGAATATACTTTTTTATCCTGAATTTTTAATTAGAACCTAGAATGGCCTCTAATATGCTGTAAAAGCTCTATATTAATTTAAGGCGTGAATAAATAATGTCTTCTTATTAATATGTGCATAATGTCTTTAATTTGTTGGTTATTTGTACCCACTGACTTTTTTTCATTTTCTTTTGAAATAATTCTAAACTTCAAAAAATTACAAAAAAAATTTGAGTGAGCTCTTACATGCTTTTATACCACATCTGTTAATTGTCCTATTTTACATAACAATGGTACAATTATCAAAACCCAGAAAAGAACATTGGTTCAATATTATTTATCAAGCTACAGCTTTCACTCAGATTGTACACTTTTCAACTATATATTTTCTTCTGGCCTTCTCAACCTCCACACATCTGAAAACATCTAATTAAAACAAATAGTTTTTATATATAGATTTTCAGAGAAAGGTTAGGAGCAAAAATATCAGAGAGGTAAATTCTACACATTTCAAAATAGAAAAATTATAAGCTTCTGCATTATTGAAATGTCTTCTTTCTTTACTTTTGTGTGTGTAGGAGTAAATGCATTTGATTATTAAAAAAAAAAATTCTTGTTGCTATGAGAATGTGCCAGAAATGTGTTATTTGGTTCACTAGACATCATTAGGTCCAACCAACCTTACCCTGAAACCCTGAATAGAATTGATAAAGACACCTGTTCTTTTGTTCATGAAGAAAAGAGTAATTATATGTAATTGAGTACAAATGCAAATAGCTTTGTCACCAGTAAAAGATAAAAATCTCTGCCAATGTAATGACAACAAAAATTACAACACTGTGTTGGAACACATACAAGACAGTTGCAGTTTGGAGCGAATTAATAGGAGTAGTGAAAGGGTAAGCCAATTATTCTGCTGTATGAGTTACCAAGAGAGAAGACATTTGATGAGGTCATTGATGAAAAGAAAACAATGAAGATATTATCACCAAGTGCATTGTCCTTTTTTCCTCTGGGGGAAAAATATTAAGAGCCGTTTGAGTGGGGAACATTTGATATGTTAGTGCAATGGTGAAACCAGAACCGTTTTCCAGCAA